TGTAGTTCAATCAAACTTCAGCCGATGGCTGTGGGGTTTATTAAATATTTTAGGATCAATGAAACAAATTATTTGACCCAAAAAGTCTTGATTAATTTCAATGCTGTTATGCAACGCTTGTCACCTGTTATTGGCGTCTATTTAAATTTTCAATTTGATTATGGAATTTGATTTTGTATCAAGCCCCCGGCCCAATATCCTCCAATCCCGTTATATCATCGGCCTCTCCTGGATTACGGTGACGACTCAATGACGTCAGACCTAGTGGCTGCAAACGGAGTTTGCGCAATAAAAGCTCAATTCTCCTCGGATTTCACCCTTTCCCCTATGTCCGTAGGAGACTATTACGTCATAATTTTACCAGACGGCGCGCGCACATTATCCAGAAGAGGAGAAAATTCCCGGCTGTACTGGCGTATGAGTGCAAATATATTCACCTGAAGATGGAAATTAAACCGTTCCCATTTTCTGTTTTGTTTTTCATCCCCTCTTTATTTTTGCACCTCACCCTCGCCAACCCCTCAATAAAGCTCACTGCACAATGTGTAGTTGTGTTATATATTACCTTCCAGTCTCTGTACTTGTTGGATAAGAAAAATTGAAGAGCAAGTTCATGATTCAATGGATTTTCCACCCCCGAATGATGCAAGAGCCTGGGGACCCATAATTTCGTTATCGAATGAGGAATAATTAAATGTTGCCGTGGAGAAGATATCCGGAAAATAAATGCGTGTTTCCCCCTCTGGGGCGGTCCTCCAAGAGGGTAGCATGAATAAGGGAGTCGTATTTTTTATGCCATTTCAGCCGAATCGATAAGGCTTAGTCATACTCGTTTCTTGGAATACGTATGAGCAATGATGATGTCTCAAGCTAATCGATTTTGCTAGCCAATGTTAATACAACAACCAAATTCTCATCAAGCGCATGAATTATCATAAAAATTGTTGCACCTGACGTTAAAAAAAAAAATGGAGAAAAGATGGAATTTTTTCAGTATGAAATTGTTTATCCAATTTCATAAGGAGTATTTGAAAAAAATACTGCTGAAAGTGAATAGTGCCTGGGCCATAAAAATTCGGGCATTTTCGGAAAAGCCATTTTCCCACTGCCTCACTTTGACATTACGTCCCCTTCTGCTTTGTTTTTATCACAACTAAATGCTTATCTCGTTGAGATATTTATAGGAGGCATATGTATATGTGACGAATGAAACAGGGATGGAGAGGAAACAACGGAAACCGCACATGCGTTGAAGCGAATCGTATGTCATTGGCGATTATTCGCAATGGGTAATGCACAGGACACGCGCCCGCGGCGCGAGAAAGTAGTCGTTCTCAAGGTCCATTACATCATTGATTAAAGCGATGAGCATGAGGTCAATTCATAAGCTGCTCGGTATTTTTTAATGCCCCACCCTCTTTTGACATTTAAGAATAAAATAGTGATGAATTATTTATGTGAGTCATTGAGTCCTCCAAGAACAATAAGATTCCCAGAACTTTTACGTTGCATACCAAGTCCTAAAGTTCGTAATTCTTGACGACGAAATGAGACTTATACTCGTACTTGAATTAAAATAAAATCTTAATGACATATTATGAAAAGTCTATGATTTTTCTCGGATGCAATATGACAATTTTAATTAACTTTCACTCGAGGAAATGAGTGGAGGACTAGAGGACTAGAGTTTCCTGGAATAAAAATATCATCCCTCCATTATTCATGAGAGTCACGTGCATAATGCGAACGAAATGAATTGTTGAGTAAGGCTCTATGAATATTAAATGACGGATTGATCGGATCGATGACGTTATCATTCTCTCGGGTAGAATTTGTACCAGCGTCAAGAGTCTTCGCCACAGGTTTGTGACGCACATTGAGCCTCGAGTTCCCTTGCTGTACTGATGAAGTTATCTGCATGAGAGCATAAGCTTGTAGTGTCTTATAGTATGACTCGCCCCAATGTCTAGCTTGGGCTTCTTCATGATACGATTCCATTTCATGACACGCACTAACCCACTCTCTGATGTCAGTGCTGTTGAATTAATGTCGAGCTAGGAATTTTTCTTGTGCCCTTCCAGTCCTCGCTATTTTATAAATAAATAGCGACATAATTAATTACGACGATCTAAAACGTTTCTTTATACGCGAGACCACAATTTGCGTCAACCAACAGCTAGAAAAAAAAAAAATCAGCCAAGCGTCATCAAAGTGGCCAATGGTAGATTGCAATTTAACCTGAAATTATTGTTGCGTATAAATGGTTCTCGCAATTGCAAACTATTCCAATGAATTGAACAATATGCCGGAGGGGGTGAATTTAAATGTGTAAAGTGAGTAGATTAGTCGACAGGGGTAACAAGGGCCTCAGCATTAAAAACCGAACTCTCCTGTGAGGGTACCTACGCCCATAATTTTGTCGTTAATCCATTGCACTCAAACTGAGATTGCCTCAACTAATTCAGAGTGGGTGGTATGCACCCAATAGCTGTGCTCGCGTGTCTGAGTAACATAAATGCGGATGAACCCGTGATCTAACTTCACTTGCTATTGGTCAGTGACTATTCGGATAATACTCACGAACGCATTCACCTAGTTGAAATTCTATGACCCCAAAACCACCTGCACACATCCGAAGACGAAAATTATTTTACGGTATAATCTGGGTCTCTGCCATCGGAAATAGACTTGTCCCGTTTTGTTAACTAGTTTTCGCCCAGCCAATGAAACTCAGACCGGTCGGCAAAAACAAGAGAAAATAAGTGTCAAGAGAATCGAGATGGGGGACGAGGACAGAAAAAGCATTTAACCTTTGACAATCAATACACTATCGTTTTAATTTGAGATCATGAGGGGGAAAATGACCGGTTGATTGAGATAGAGCACACGCGCTCTTTTCACCTCGGAGATTTGACAATCCATACTTTCATCTTGTCCTCTTTTGCTAACACTTGGGAATCATCCGTGTATCAAGAATTGAGATTTTGAATCCTTCAGAATTCCGAGAATGTGCAAGTATGTCGTCACACAATTGCATACGAACGAGGTCATACTCTGCCCTATTTTTTTCTCAACAAGAATATTAGAATTCATAAAGATAATTCTTTACATTTTAATTGTCAAGAATTTGATGATTCAATCATTCAATTCTTTAAATAGGAAATATGCTTGAAAATATGACGGTCATGGTTATTGATACCATTCTCTTCTAAGTGAGCGTCGTATTTATTTTTAGCATTGCATCTACCTTTTACAAACGTTCGAATCAGAATTAGTTCGGAATCGGAGACAATTCTGTTGTTGAGGGATAATTTTACAACGGTATGTCCCTCCGCTGAAAGTAACGAGAGAGAAAATGGAAGTGGGATTAGCCAATTACATTTTTTTTCAATTATATAGGTACTGCTTGAATAATCTTCACAATTGATTCCCTTTTATTATCAAGCTTGCATTTCACTCCACAATACTCCAGTGAACTGAAAACAAAAAGTATAACTTCACCTCGCTGTTCGTTCAAGTTTTAACTGATATATCCGAAACTAAGGAAGATAGTGAGCTTTTCATAAGAACCTTTGTTTCAGGTCTCAATAAGCTCTATAAAAAAGATCTTAACAGAAATTTGATTATCTCCTTTAGTTAGGGAGTATTTCCAACAAGTTCACCGAAGAGCTGGTACTCTTTTACTTTAAACGAAAGTGATAGATACCAACTTGTGTACACAGATTTTAAAGGACGGTGTGGTTATTAGGCAGGTGCGAGAGGCATTTCGAAAGATAGTGGGAGGGCAAAAATGGGGCTAAATGATGATGACGGGATGGATAAAGTGCCTCGAACGACATAACTGGAATAATGCGCAATCTGTTGGAAAAGAAAAAAAAAATCATAGAGTTGCATTCGGTTAAGGGAGAAAAGTAATGAAATCTCGCATTCGTGAACAGAACGACGAGTGCTCCAACCTGATTGAGTTCAATTGAATTTTCAAATAATTTCACTCCATAAATATAATTATCCCAATTTTTCTGGTGTAGCCACATCTTCATGCAATTATTCAACTGAAAGTGACAGTTTTCACAGAAGATGCTCGTGAAAAATGTCCAACAGTGTAATAAGACTGGCGTTTGTACCAACTAATTTGATTATGCACCGTCAACATCTCTGAAATATTTGGGATTCCTTCGCAAGCCAAAATTAGCCTCGAATTCCCTAGAAATATCTCCGAAGAGACTCCCAAATTTTTGGCACTCTCATTGAGCGAGAAAAAAAATTCCCTCACTGAGGGGAAAATTTCCGTAGTTCGATACATGCTTCAGCTACTGTTTATATTTTCTCCTCTATTTATTTTGCCCTAGTGGAGAAACTTTCTTTGCCCAACCAAGTTACACGCGGCACAAGTCATTTGCACACTGTACAGACACGTATAAACATTGCATCCAGATCGGCAAAACGTTGAACCGCCCACACATACCAGCACTTGTCTCATGGTTCAAGCCTTCGAGGTGTACTCAAAACATATATATACATGTATACATACCAGCCACATATTCTCTTTTCTCGTGCGTTCTATAGGAACATTCTTCGGGAGATCGGTTCTGCTATTTTCACTGGAAACGTGGAGTTATTGGAATAGTTGGTACTGAATCCACTGTATCGCAATCAGACCAACAATGTCGGTTATGAAAAACGAGAAAAGGGGCAATGAGAATACATTACATTTCATTGAAACTTTCGGAATAACATGTTTTATTAAGAAATGGGCGTTTGCGTGGGAATAACAAAGGGAAATTTTCGAATCCATCACTGTCGGGTTGTCTGGGAGAACAGGGGGGTAAAAAAATTCATATTTCAAAATCAAAGGAAAGCTCGATAAATCCAGTGGATATATATTCCCAGTAATTCGATCGGCAGTTATTAAGATTTTAATAGGAATATCCGTAGTTTAAAATGTTCACCAACCGTTAAAAAAACCGATCAATGACGATTTAATTTTCTGAAATTTACAGAAAAAAAACAGAGTGCCACGACATCGCATGGTTCGCGTAGCAGACACGAAGCAGTCGGAAATAACCGATACAAGGAGGACCTGTCACGTGATAATATGCGGTAGAATCCGTAGCTCACAACTGGCAGGTAAATTTATCAGATACCACATACATATATGTATGGATTCCATCAAACACTTCCTCGACCTTTTATCTTCTCCAAAACCAAAATCCTAATGCAATAATCAATAATGCACTGCCGTCTATTAAGTAGTCGATTGATCTTTGATCTTCTCTCGTGTAATATATCCTCGGAATAGACGACACTCTCCCTCCATATGCATACCCAATTGATGTCTCAGATCAGTGACAGTAGTTCTATTGACTGTACCACAACACCGCAGACCGATAGAAACAGAAGATCCGTATTGAGGTAATTGAATAATCGATGCAAGCCCATCGGAATAATGGCAATAACTGCTTATCCATTCTCAAAATAAAAACTCCAGGGACAAAAAATCGAGGCGAGTTTATTTCGAATGCCATACATATAGATACATGCCATGAATCCGGGGAATGATAAAAATTTCCGATAAATGAACTCATAATTTCCGCAGAAAATATTTGACAGAGAACACTGGAATGTCTCTCCAGTACCTTCTCATCCCCGGTTATCATATCCCAACTGGATAAAGCTGAAACCGTAGAATCAAAAGTAGAAAAAAAAAACTGGTTTGGTCACGAGGGGATTACAGTCACCCTTTCTTTTTTATACCCACTGATTCCTTTGATGTAGCTGGAAAATGTGCCGATGGGCTTCTGTTACATGTTTGCTATCCAATTTGACCCAAGACCCGCAGTTTGATAATGTGCCCCTCCTGAAAACTTGCTGTGGAACTTTGACTCCATCAAGAAGTAGATAACTTTTAACCAGACTTTGCTACATACTCCAATTATTGCAAGGTCAGACGTCACACTTGTTTCACTCCTTCGCTGCTATAACCTTTGAAAATCTTCCAATGCAAGTTTCAACTTCTGAAATTGACGTTCTGGTCGGGGTTGAGGATTTTTCGATATTGAAAGATACGGAGGGAGCGGTCGAACTGGAGATGAAGAAATAAAATATGGGATTTCGACAGTATCGATAGAATGTCAGTGATATCCTTGCATCTGCCGAGACCACGGAGGATGATAAAAAAAGGAGTAAATATGAGACGAAGGATAAGAGAAGGTAAAAAAAGAGATGGAGCCAGTGGGTTGGTAAAACTGGTCGTGAGGCGCACTGTCCGATCAATACGGAACGCATCAACGTTTCTCCATCCACCTTCCAAACCGTTTCCTTAAGTATTTCAATCCTTTTTGTTATCCTCATCAGTTATATTTGCAACTCTTTCATTTCACTCTCTCCTAATAAAATGGCTCTTCCCACGGGATAGCAGTCAAGTGCGAAAGGTTGGATTTACTGGACTGGAGTACCTACCGTTTAAAAATTTACGGGAGCTTGTCCCGCAGCGCTTTTTATCCGGAAACCCATCACTCAACTGTCGTATCCGGGCTTTTTTTTTTTCCTTTCCATTCGATTCCATTGGGATCCTTTTTTTCGGATTCGTCGTGATTTGTCCCGTAAAATGTCATCGGATTTTGACTGGCGGGGTGGAGCATTACGAAGGGAAATAAATACTCTTAGCGCGATGAAGGCTAGTTCACACGTGCTCAATACTCTGGGTTACTAAACACTTCGCTGTGCTTACATATTCGTAATGAGATATCTTCATTTATTTTCTTGCGTTGATTCTCTGAAAATTTTGCTCAAGGTTCAGCGAAAATAGTATCCGTGTAGAAATTGGTTGAATGAATTTTTGAATAGATGCATAGCCGTGCTGCTTATAACCGATCAATCAAATATTTCAATTGCGCGATTTGATTCAACTTCCGCACCGATACCAAGCCAGTGTATTAACTCCCTTTGCTGCTCGTTATTCTCTTTAAACGAAAAATCAATGGCGTGATGCTTTAAACCGTTGAATGCCAAAAATAATTTTCAACCGAGCGAGCGGCGGTTGGTGTTGGGGATTTTTCATTTGTGTACACAATAGCGAGATAGAGTTCCACAGCGTCAGTGGCGCCATTGGGTAAAATAAAAAATTGGATGATGGGTGTACAGATTTGCATGATCTTGAATTTTTTCATTAAACCGAGGTCATCCCAGTCTTGTAGTTTTACTACCTTCCTCATGAGAAACAGATTACGGTATCCATACTGCGTAAACAATTGCGTGCCAAGTAATTCAAGTGGCTCCATAATTCATCCCCTTTATCGTCCAATTTCTGGTGTTACTTTATTATGACCCATCTATTATGAGTAGAATAACATTTTTCGGTGAATTGTTCGGGTAGTCTGGTACTTCTGCTATTTCTAGAGTACCAAGGACCAAATCATCCAATCACTTGCCTCGCGATTTCAAAAGGTCAAAATAATTAATAACCAAATGAGTTGAAGAGACTAACGGAAAGTCAGTCCGAAGGATGTTGATGATAAAAATCATAATAAAGGAAAATTTTCTACATTGGATGGATGTACGATCGTGAGGGAGAAATTTACGATATAGGTCTTGGTATCGCCTACGTGGCGCCTACGATTCGCCGATCGATACAGCCGACGAACCCAGCCAGACACACTCTCTTTTCCTCTTTCGGTACCACAGGATTTTCCTCCTTTTTCCCCTTCTTACACAGTTATACCACTTTTTTGTATTTCCCACTTGGATTATTGCCGGTGGAGAATTTATTTTTCTATCTTTATCAATAACCTCGTTCGCTGACCGCATCGTTAAATGAAATCGTACGAGACATTGTCACCGTCGTGTGATTACCTGTCAACGACCTCAGCCTGTTAACCCATAAATCCATTCTTTTGTACATTGCCATGGAAGCCTTGGTTGATAAAAAAAAATGTGCTGTCACGAGGAGATTCTGTCTTTTTTCCACAGAGTATTGTAGGATACCGAAATTTTTCGAATATTGTTTCACTTCTCAATTTTGTGGGTTCATAACGTTTGCAGATTTCAATGGCCAATTGGGTCACGTGAGAGTTGTTCTTTTTTTTTATTAGATTTTCTAGAGTAGTGTTTGGTTTTTGTACTCTAGAAATGTTCCAAGTCCCAGCGGATTTTATGGCGCCAGCAGTCATTTCAACTGACCGGAAATGAGAGAGAAAGAGAAATTGCGTATTCACCAGTGAATTAGTCTGGACATCCACTTATTCCCCAAGCTTGTTTGAAACTAAATAATAAATTCATAAGTACCGAGAAAATTGCCAAACTGAGAAATGCCCACGTGCAAAGTATTATCTATTTACTCGAAATTTTAATGTTGCGGAAAAGTTTCTTCATGGATAAATTTTCACGCACTTATCATCACTATCGCCTTTTTCTGCAATTAAAAATACTTCAATTTGATTGAATCTCCTCCTAAAGTAATTATCCCTAATCCCTAATGGGATTGGAAAATTTGGTGGCCCTAGGTCTTCTCTGATCTTTCCTTTTAAAAATAAAATTCGAAATTAATGTGACGTAATTCTGAAACGGGGAGAAAAAATATTGGGGGACGCGAATCACGCATTGGACCTCATCCAAATGAATTAATTACTGAGATGTAATTGGTAATTGGAAAATTTTCCCGGGTGTAGTGAAATTAACAGCGACCTGGGGACACTTCTTATTTTTGCTTCATCCAAAACCACAAAAATATTATTCAGAATAATTTTAGATGGGAAAATATAATTCGATGTAAACGTTTTATTTCATTATAACATTTTTATGTTATTCTAGATAAGGTATTCATATTCCACAATGGAATTGGTGCTGGAAGTAAAGTTGCCCTTCTCGTTTATTTTAATTAAGCAGAGGAAAGTCCCAGGTTTTCATTGCAATTTTTCGGTGGATCAATGAGAAATAGAAAAAAAATAGGGAATGCGTCGGTTTATCATTGGTCTTCATTTTCAAAGAAAATAGGAGAGGGCTATTTGGGGTGCTATCGCAAAATTCCTCATTCAACAGCAAAATAGTATGAGAAAAATTGTTTTACATAATTTACCCCCTTACATAATTCATAACCAAGTATTATTCGTGGAGATCCCACGATTGTTTATCACGCACTTTGGGCATTGGGTTAAAAAAATTGAGAAACCTCGTGTGATCCCAGATATTTGATACGATCAAACTGGCACCAGCCAGTGTATTCCAGAAATTGCTCGTTGAGATTAAAACGCGTATACTCATTCGACTCGTACACACAGCTTCAACCATTCATCAGTCAATGCCAGACCACTATAAATTATCGAGAATAACCTCATCAACGTCCCAAATGAGAGAAAAATTATAGGGTAACCCAGAGAATATAGGATAACGCTTATTCAATACCACGTTTACCTCATTGAAAATATCAAATATCAATTATTGCACCCATTCGCATTCGATTATTTTCCTGAGTGACACGTAGTTGTACTCAGACTATTCTGAAATTTTGATTGATCTTAAAATTGATAAAAAAAATTCCTCATCCTCCCCTCCAAAACGCAGAAATCCATATTCGCGTTTCATATATATTTTTTATAAATTCAAACAATTGGTGCCATCAAATTGTTACATAATTCCAGATTCAAGTAATTATGTTTGATAATCTTATCTATCAGATTTGTCTGATAAATAAATTATCAAGAATCGACAAACGAATATTCGGTTGGTAGTGAAAGATCCGAGATAGCCTCAGCAATTCAATCGGTTCAATCCAATAAACTGTTAAGTATCGTTGGACTAACATACTTACGAAACAATGATAAACAATCCCCCTTCTGATACCGATCGTTCGTGATCTCAATTCGTCGCCAAGAAATGCTAAATAAAGTATTTCATTCACATAAATAATTTCCTCAGAAAAAACTGAAAAAAAAAATTGGAAAAATCGACATGTACATGATTTTATCACCACCAAATTGAATGATAAATAGAGCGACATAATTCTCGGTATCATGACAAATAAAGAAAGGTCATCGGGCCATACTCGCACCGGTTGACTCAGGCAATAAAATTAACCAATGATTTATAAATAACATAAAAACATGAATCGAGAATTAAACCCTTGGGTTATT